CTAGCCGGCCGTCTAGCAAACGAGTGCTAGCGTTCACCGTGCGTGGACACGCGATTACGTACAGGGGCCTAGAAACTCCCGTCTGTTCGACCGATGCGAAAGCGCTCGCGCCATCTGCTGGCCGTGGCTGATACTAAACCGCAACACGCGGGATATACGAACGTTCTATTCATACGAACAACTCTTAACGCTCAGATACGAATCGCGAAGCAGGATTAAAATCAATACTATCCACTCAATCATTCGAATACGTACACTTCTCTCATAGGTAGCTTTCCCAAAACGTCATATTCTTGCAGTCTTCCTGATCGATTCTTATTATTCTTCGTTTACAATTCATCGACTCTTGACGACCGTCCCATAACCACAACTCTCAACGTTATTCCATATTTCTTGACGCTACCACGATGTATCTCTTAATATTTAATTATGAATAATACCGCAACCGTCTCCCTTGCACGACAATAATCAAACAAACAAATTACTGAATAATGTCTACGCGAGACATACGAACACAGTTTACGATCGATGTATTTCCGACATCATAGTATTCAAATTATTCTGCAACTTCGTCGCTTAAAGTGCAGTTTACAAAAGCAAGGAAACCGCGGTGCACACATACACGCAATTGCATCTTGGTTGGTCGAAGATCATCTGGACCTTTCTCGAGGATGTAATTTCCTTTGAACGTCGAGCGCGCGTATGCCAGCCGACTTTTCACGGTTCTGTTTACTCGAAATTGCGCGATCCCTCGAATCGAAATAGAAATCCGCTTCTATTTTCTATGTCTATTTCTGCCCAGCTCGCTCATCACGCACGAAAATTCGAGCAAACACGATGATCGAGCACGCACACATCAATCCATCCCGGAATCTGGAGACCAACGTTAACTCCGCCATCTACAACCCTGGATGGTCGATGGTTTTCGATATTTCGGTTGTGTGGTTACTTTAATTTATTGACAAAAATGTAACACTTCTATTTTAAATTGACTATGTTTTTACAACCGGAATGATACCCGTTTTATTCAAGTTAAGTTATTTGTGTAAATATTGACGGTGTTTTTATTCAAGTAAGAACTCGTTGACGCGAAAAGCGAAAATGTCTTCGAAGAGGTATTTAATTGTTTTTACTTCGTGTTTTTCAAACTGCCAGAACTTCGCCAACTCACGAATGGTAGTTGCTTGTACCTAGAAGGAAGCGGCCCCTCGATCTTTAGCATGTTTCTTTTGTTATATGAAACAATCGCACTGTATTGATTCTTTGTTTCTTTGTTAACCTGCATTATCAATTTCACCACATTATTTATGGAGCTTGCAGTTCCTTTCGATTTCTCGAGTAAATTTTAGAAACGTTAAATCTTGGAAATCTTACCGATGTATTTTATAATAGTTATTTATTCGTTACATTTTCGTATAAATGTTAGTATAAGGTAAAGCATTGCTATGTAGCATGGATACTTGCCATAAAAGTATATCTTGTGCAATATATAATTTATCATATTAGGATGTACACGTTTCCTCTAAATATTGCTTTCCTACGTTACTTTCTACATACATGTATATACATACACATATATATATATATATATATTGCACACTTGAGAATATTATATCCAATTTCTGCAATTCAAAATTTATTATGGTATACTTTTTAGTGAATTAAAAAAGTTGTCAGAGGAAAGTTTAACAAGACAACCTGAAGAAGTGTTTGACATAATATGCAAGTTAGGAGAGGGGTAAGTTGAGAAACATTTAAGAAAAATACTATGATATCATTTGAAAGAATCTTTTTACCAATAAACATACAAAACCATATATTTTTATTATCTGTTTCTTATTGTATAGATCCTATGGGTCGGTTTACAAAGCATTACACAAAGAAAGTGGACAGGTACTTGCTATCAAACAAGTGCCTGTCGATACAGACTTACAGGAAATCATAAAAGAGATTTCCATCATGCAACAGTGTGATTCTCCATATGTTGTTAAATATTATGGAAGCTACTTTAAAAATACTGATTTATGGGTAACCTTACACATCATCGCGATACATAATTATGTTTCCATATTTATTTTTCATTTATATTCACAAGGGTATAATCTTGCAGATTGTAATGGAATACTGTGGAGCTGGATCTGTCAGCGATATTATGAGGTTAAGGAAAAAGACGCTACAGGAAGATGAAATAGCAACAATCCTCAGTGATACCTTAAAAGGTTTAGAGTATCTTCATTTGAGAAGAAAGATACATAGAGACATTAAGGCAGGAAATATCTTACTCAATAATGAGGGGCATGCAAAACTAGCAGATTTTGGAGTGGCCGGACAATTAACTGTAAGTTTTATAACGTGATCATTATTTCTATTTTAAAATCTAATTTTAATTAATTTCGAAAAATTCCTCTAGGATACAATGGCGAAACGCAACACAGTCATAGGAACTCCATTCTGGATGGCTCCAGAAGTAATACAAGAAATTGGATACGATTGCGTTGCAGACATATGGTCCCTGGGTATAACTGCTTTAGAAATGGCAGAAGGCAAGCCACCGTATGGCGACATACATCCAATGAGAGCAATATTTATGATACCGACTAAACCACCACCTAGCTTTAGGGAACCTGACCAGTGGAGTTCTGAATTTATCGATTTTGTCAGTAGGTGCCTTGTTAAAAATCCAGAAGAAAGAGCTACTGCAACTGAGCTTCTGTATCATGAATTTATAGGTAACATCTAACGACATATTTAACATACTCTAAAAGTGTTCCTATTTTATTTGATAATCAAAACAACTTTTGCATTACAGGTAATGCAAAACAGCCAAGTATTCTGAGTCAAATGATCGCGGATGCTCACGAAATACGAGAAAAACAGAGCGCTCATCGAGCTCATGTTATTAACAATGTAGCAATAAAAAATCAAAACCAAACAGAAGACTCGGTATTTAACTAAAAATAAATTGATTGAAAATAGTATTTCATACATACCAATATCCACGTTAAATATTTAATGATTGTCGTTAGGATGAAGAAGACTGTAGCGGGACGATGAAACCTCTACCAGAAGATACAGGAACCTTAGTACCAAGTCATGATCTTCCAGATACTGGAACACTTGTTTCTGCAATGTTAGACTTGGGAACAATGGTTATTAATAGTGACACAGATACAGAAGCAACTATGAAACGTTAGTAAAAATTATCTTACACTATAATACAAAATAGTAAGGAATAGAGAAATTAATATAGCTCGTTTACAGGTCACAATACAGGGTCAGTTGAATCCGGAAAGAAATACCGGCCACTATTTTTAGATCATTTTGATAAGAAGGAAGCACCTGAAATAGGAAAGGTAAAATTAATATGTTAAATTAAAACATACGAGAAGTTACATTATTAATCCTTAGGGTAATGGACAAATACTTGGAGCACACAATCCAGAGAATGAAAGTAAATTAGAATTACGAAGCCCGACAGAATCGCAGAGGTTTCAAAGCCATCTACAGTTACAGCTTAACCAGATCTCTCACCCTGTACAAGAGCAACCTCATAATAACATATCCAAGTTCCAAAATGTCTTCGCGGAACGCGATTTCGACTTCGTAAGTAGTAAACAAACTTCAATTAGAGAAAGTTAATAGCAATTCACAGAGGTTTCCAATACTGTGTTTCTTTTATCTTAAAATCGATCGACGTAATGCCACTTGAGGCATCATATATAAAAGACTTGAATATAGATAAACAACCATATCCTGCAGCTGAAGTTTCTCTCATACGAGGAACTACAGCAACGAATGGCTAATCTGGACGCAGAAATGGAGCGGGAAATCGATGAGCTAAGAAGAAGGTACCAAACGAAGAGACAACCAATTCTTGACGCCATGGATACCAAACGAAAACGTCAGCAGAACTTCTAACAGTTTGGTTAATTTTTTTTATGCAAATAGGTGTGATGACGATAGATAAAGGGTGTACAGTTGTATAAATGAATAGATTTTATGCGTCTCGTCCTTAACTTCGTCAAAGAGAGGAACATTGACTTTCCGATTACGTGTTTAGCAAACGAAAAGAGTAACAGCAATTAAAAGTATTTTCTTCTCTTTCTAAGCCAATGTTCTTCCTCTTTGTGAATTACGAACGAGTAACTAATACTAGCTAATAGCCTCACGTCACCAATGTAAATTATTTTACATGATTTAGGTGAACAATCATTATACTTAATTTTTTATTATTACGTTTACCTGTCTATTGTTAAATATGCTATTCTTATAGAAGTATTATGGAATCTCCTCAGCATTCTTTACAAACTAAAGCAAAGAGAGAAAAAAAAACAAAAAGAAATCGAATGCAATGGGAGTGGAAGAATTATTATGCCATATTTGCAATTTTTATTAAGAAATCAGTGAGGATCCACATGAAATTGATATTCGGTTTTCGTCTTACGCTAGTCACCTATTATGCCATTTATTTTATCCATAATATTACATTAACAAGTATCATCACTCATACGAAATACATGCATGGAGATCATCCCGAAAATATATTTATATAACCTTTGCGCTAACATATTGTTTATTTGCAAAACAATTTCTGGTAAGTGAGCAAACTTTAGAAAGTGTTAAAGAATTTACTCCTTTTTTTACTGCCATAGATATTATTACGAGTTTACTCACAGATATTAATGTTAGGTTATGTAACGTTCGTTTTTACGTCAAATGACTTAGGTTTAAAGTTTTGTAAATGGAAATTACTGAGATTGTTTGGTAGCGTTTTTATACCATTCAAAACTAAGAATGAGAGTGGTAACATCTCAAAGTTGAATATATGTGACGAATGAACTTACTGAAATTAGTCTTCCGTATTAGAACGTATTTCAATATTTCGCTAATTCGTGAAATCAGTATTTAAATTGTTGAGAATAATCATCACAAATGGCAAGATCTGTAATATTTATAGATTTATATAAATTTGTACTTTATCGAAATGCATTTTTTCTTTCTTTCTTTCTTTCTTTTTTTTTTTTCTTTTTTTTAATAAGTTTCATATGTAAGATTATCAAATATGTTATCATTGTGTTTTCTGTAAAAATTTCGATGAATGTTGGTATACATAGTACCAGTAGAACAGTAACGCATGTATGTACTGTCGAGAATGCTACAACATAGTGGAGTAATTCTTTGCTGACGTTGGGCTATTTTAAAAAGTAGCGGAAATAGATTTATAATACTTAAACGCTATAGCCAGAACTGACTTTTCTGTTTATTTAGAAAATAACAGTACAGAATAATAACATATTTTTGATATAGAAAATATGCACATTACAATCTAAGGAGATTCGAATATTAATTATTAAATCCAGTCTTTATATGGCCCTACCATAACACACAATATTATCATAATAATAGCGTTGGGTTCCACTGTTAACATGAAGAGCAGATAAATAAGTTATAATCTAAAAAAGTAATATTTCTACTGTTTGATGAAAAATAGAGCGCACCATTCACTGTGACATGCGACTCCATCAACATATATGCGTTAATAATGTAACAGAAACGAATAAATTTTATTCCTGCAGAATTACACGTTCGATAGAACTTAAAACGTTTCACCACTTTAAGGCTAATACGTGTTCCCAACTTTATGAAACAGCAACATGGGGGAGTAGACTTTAATATTGGCCTTGTTTCCAGCTATTAATAAGAGACACTGCCTTTTACGTATTTAATTTGATTAACAATAAAATATTGTGCATACTGCGATTTATTTCAGTTTTCTTTTTTTACATCAGATACTTTCGTTACTTTGTCAAATAAAATGTAAGTACATTATATAAAAATTTATATTTTCTTTTCTTACGACTCATTTGCATTCAATAATTGCACCTTTCGTATTCAATTATTACTAAACTCTATCATAATAAATAAAAATTATATAGTCATTGCTTATGTCACTTATAATTGTTTTTTTTTTACACTGAATTTAAAGCTTGGCATTATACTTTTATTATTAATAATATTTGTACAAACAAAATTGTTACAATTTTATCGAGCACTTAAAGCTTGTAGTTTTTATGTACTTTATTATCATTAAAAGTAGCATAACCATCTCAAAACTACACATAAAATTGTTGTGTCATTAGTATATAAATAAAAAATGTATCCTTCGAATTTTCTAAATTTATATCACTTGATTGCGCGTCATCAAAAATATATTAACATCATTTGAAAAGCTTTATAAAACTATTTAAATATTTATAAGGCATACCTTATCACCGTCTTATCACATTATTTTCGTATATTCATAAATCGTCATCACCGATCATGTTAAATGCATTATTTTCCATAATATCACATTCCGATATATGTTTCTTTTGAACGTTACCATTTGCGCTATCTTTAACGTTATTGGACTTTTTTATTCTTACCACTGATAGTCTATCCGCAAGTCTTTTCATAATCGGTTCCGATTTAGTAGGCTGCTTGATACAATCATCCTGAAAGGATAAGTAACGATAAGAAAATGCAATATAAAAAATAGTATCATAATTAAAATTGCTCACTTTTTTATTCTCTTCAGATTGTTCATCAGAACTTGATCCCATTGAAACACTCTGTCCATCTCTCATAACATATGTCCAAGGTTTCCTGGATAAATCCTAGAAATAAATTCTCAACTATTTAATATGCGAAGATATTAAATTTTATTTAGTTATTATTATTTATTAACCTGAGCTCTACTGCCACTTGCATTCTTTAATAGTAATTCATCGATCATAGCTTGCAAGCACACGGACATTAAAATAGCTTGATCCGAAGTAATTGTAATCCATTGTAGCTGATTCTTAGCTATTAAGTATTCAAAAGATAATTCCAAGCTAAAGTCATCACTTTCGTTGCACCTTTCGAGACTCTGAAATTCAGACAGAAAGCATGAACGTATATAATAGCATTTTTTATCATAATTACTTACACTTTGTACAGTCGTAATTCGCCAGCAACGCATTCGAGAAACTTTGAACATTTCTTCACTTTGTTGTTCGTCTGATAATGTACGCAAATTTAATTCATTTTTACCTATAGCAACCAGTACTTTTGAATCTGATTGTGGATAATCACAAGAACATGGAGCAAACTGAATGTACCCATAATACTTTAAAGTACGCGCTATATCCAGATACTACAATAATAATGTTTCAAATAGATGAATAAATAAAAATAGTAGAATTACAGAAACCATAAGTATCAAAAGTATTTTTATTATGATATAACATACTTCTTTTTTCTTCCCATGACTCTTTAAAGTAGTCAGATGATCTTTCAATTCATCTGCAACAAGAATCCAACCTCTTTGAATTTCTGCAACTGCTTGAATATATAATAAATTCATTGCTACTGCATTATTCATTAATTCAAGATCATATCCTACATCCCAGTAATTCTTTCCTAGCACAATCCTACTACCAATAGTGTGTATATGTTTGTTCGTTATAAACGGAGATTCAAAATCTTGTAATTTTCGTAATACTGAAAATGTAACATAGAAAAAAAGATTACAAACTATATACAATAATAATGTACGAATTAGCACAATAAAATTACACTTACAGTAGACACTATTACCTTCATCTTGAGCAACAATGAACAATGCAAAATACAAATGATATTGTTCTAGTAGCTTAAGATGTTTGTAGACTTTCTGTTAAACAAAGACATTTAAATTAAATTTTAATTAATCTGGCATGCTGTATGTTGTTCATTAAATGAGAATTACCTTTAAAACAATTCCAGAATGATCTCCTGTGGAAATATTTATTGTTATCTTACAGCCATTCATGAGAAAAATGTCCACGAATTCATTTTTGGATAGTCCACCTATAGTTTCTTGCTGAGCATTTAACAAGAATGCATTCAGTACCCCTGAATCGTTGACCACAACATTTTGTCCTATCGACTGAATATATTTTTCCAAAGCTAGACGGCGCTCTTCTTGCTGGCTTACCGTTAAAGGAAAAAACTTTTTTGGTGGAAATGACTGAATAGGTACATCCAGATCCTTAGTCAACTGTTCGTGAAGATTGTGCAGCTGTTTATACCTCACTGTACAATGGAACAATCCATTTATATGAATGTTATAACCCTAAACAATTTAAATAAAATAAAATAAATAGAATTAATAAATATTAATTAATTATATTATACACATATTTTACAACAGAAATAGTTACCACATATGTATTACCAGCTGTATCGATAAATTCTTGCGTATCTGGTATAGAAAAATGCATTTTTGTAAAGTCACTTATCAATGATTGATATTTATGTCATAATTAGGAAGATACATTATACAAAAGTTATTTAACAAAATCAACATATGCAAAAATGTGGCCCAAAATGTATAAAAATATTTATATAAAACACTCCACATTGTACATAATTAAAACGCACTTGTCTTTTAGAAATGCATATTCATGCATTTCTGAGGAATTCTGTCCATCTGAAAAATATAATAATAACGAATAATGAAGTATCTTTAAAAATTATAAGTCCTCGTTTAAATTAATGATTATGATTGAATATAATTACGTTGACAATTAATTATAAAAAAATACTCACATATGGTCGGATACCTCGTTATCATTATTCCTTGACAATAAGCGTATTCGCCTCACACCCACTCGATAACTATATTTCGTGCGATTAAAGCTGACGCATTTTTTTTTACATACATTAATAGAAACATACACCAATGCGCCAATGAACACCAATTCTTATAAATTGAAATTCTATTTAAAAATATACAAACGTATCCCAAGACTTCTTATAGCAGAGTTACAAGGTTTCGAATGTGATTAAACGATGCAGAGTTTTAAAAATTCATCATTTTAATTTCATTTTATTCGTGTTTCGAAACACCTTGTAATTTCTGCCCATTCCCAACGTTTTGTTTTATAATCTCGTGGGCGCCACGGCGCCCGTATTAGCAGTTTCTATTTTTAAACGTTGAGTAGTACTTAGATCAGACACTCGTTTGGAAATTCCAATTTTTCTCAAACTTTTCAAATACTGAATAAATTAAATACAAATTTCCATACGTGTTCAATGATTCGCCTAGCATTCAGATTAAACATATTTAATACCTCGTTTAACAATTACATTTAACAATTACAATCAATTCAAACATGTATCAATCTAAATTATTATAATTATCCAGGATGAATAATACTAAAGGTTTCAGGGCTAAATGTTTTTGTTACATCTACAATTTATTTACCAAAATATTTTTGGATATATTTATATACGATTTCATTTGGAAATATAGTCACTGTTTCCGGTTAGTCTCGAACGATATATCGATACATCGTGCATGAGCAGAGTTTCTTTCCGATATAAGACTCGCGCTGAAACGTCAAGTACGTTGGATTTCATATAATATCTGTTTTAATCGTAGCCGTATATAAATATTATGAGAAACTAGGATGTTCGTTAAATTCCTCTGTCTTCGTTAAATTAAAGAATTTTCATATGATCGGTATTTCTTCGTTATTATCGTATTGAACAATATTGACATTATGAAGCTAACCGCAGAGAATGTTCGTATCTTTATATATTGTTAATGAAAACTTACATTTTGTTATGCAAACATATTCTACTCTGTATTAAAAAAGTGCGTTATTTTTATTGCCAGAACGGAAATATTACAAGTTCTACACGAAATCGTATAAACATCTTGTATAACCTATAAACATGGTTATGTTCTTTAATAAATTTAAGTACAAGTACAAAGTATCCAGAATTTGATTAATAAACATCCTGCTTTCTCTATCGTACTATCTAAAGTAAATAATCGTATCTACAATAATAGCGAATAACTTTTATACTACTACTTTGTTATTTTCAGGATGTTGATGCCAAAAAAGAACCGTGTAGCAATTTATGAATACCTTTTTAAGGAAGGTGTTATGGTTGCAAAGAAAGACTACCATGCACCAAAACATCCAGAATTGGAAACTATTCCAAATCTTCAAGTTATTAAGGCAATGCAGGTAATATTTATATCCAACCATTATTATTCAACTCACTTTGTTAATTACTGAAATCTTTCTAGTATAGTCTGTTACATATAGAATTTTTCTAATCAGAGTTTCAATAATCAAAACCTTAATATACTCCATTTATATTAAATTCCTGTTAATTTGATGTTGCAGTCTCTAAAATCTAGAGGGTACGTCAAAGAACAGTTTGCCTGGAGACATTTCTATTGGTATCTGACAAATGACGGAATTGAATATTTGCGTGGATACCTGCATCTACCTCCTGAAATTGTACCTTCCACTTTGAAGAGGCAAACCAGGTCAGAAACCACGAGGCCACGACCAGCAGCAGCTACGAGAAGCGAAACCTCTAGGCCGACGGAAGATCGTGCCGGATATAGACGAGGACCCGGAGGTCCAGCAGGGCCTGGTGACAAAAAAGCTGATGTTGGCGCGGGTACAGGTGACGTTGAATTCCGTGGTGGCTTCGGTCGCGGTAAACCACAATAATATTTTAATGTAAAATAAATAAATCTTTCATAAACTAATGGCATTATTATTCCGATTGTCCTCGTAAATATTACCTTCGATACATAGAACATGGGAATCAAAGTATTTCTTTACTTTATTTCCTGTTACATTGTACATTTACTTGCAAAATGTAACTTACTTACAAATGTGTACAATTAATTACAAATTGTACAATTATCAGTTATTAATATGTTATAGTATAAGCAGAAGTAAATAGACAATCGATGTTTGCAGTTATAACCTACGAAAATCTAATTTTTCTAAAGGTAAATTTATCATTTTTGACAAGACACACGCATGGAACTGGAAACATCACAGACGCATATTTGTGCTAAAGCAAAAGCTTTGAACAAAAAGTTTTCCATTACTTGGTTTCATTAACAAAGTAAAACTAAACTTCTTTTTATACTAATGCGTCCTTTTGCTTCAATTAAAGTAGCAATTTATATGTTAGCGGTACGATGTAGACGTCCTGGTTGTAATCGTTAAAAGCTAAAACTTTCCAACAGTAACGACGAAATGTTAATACTTGCACTGGATGGAAAGATGTATTAAACGCAATATACAAGTAGTTACATTTTAATTTCCACTACTATGTATGCTCGGTAAAATAAATATATATTTATTTTATGAACAAGTCAAAAGTAACCATTTGCAAATTTTACCGTAGTATCAGTATCTTTAACATAATACATATTAAAATGAATTACTTAGACTTTATGCTTTAATTCGATACTTATTTCTACTGTTTGTCGTATTCGATCAACGAATAGCGATCATCTATATAATCTATATGTATGCGTATTTCGATTAGACAATTTTCCCGTTTTAATGTTTCTTCGATAACGTCGTCAGTCGTATTACTGAAAAGAATTTAACTTTAATTGCGTGGGCAATTAACACACATGATAAATGCTACATGACCACCGAATTCTTTGCATACAGATTTATTCAAATAAAGCAACCAGCAAAGAAAATCTTGTTTTTTAAAGTATACAATTTACAAGGGTCAACAATTCTAACTCGAAAATAATCGTATATACATTATAAGAAGATTAAACTAATCGAAATTAAATTTAGTTGTATGTACAAAGACGATATATATTTTAGTCATTCCATAATCTTAAATTATTATGACCTTACATAGAAGCTTTTTCGTATCATGTAAAAATTTGTTATGGCCTATCAGTTTTGTATACTTGTATATATTGCATGTATAAACATGTATATGTGTATACAGCGTGTAATATGTACACATATGACATGTATATATACCAATTGCAAGAACTATAGAAACTGTCTTTAAACCATAAAAAACTCACATTTATATACATCTACTAATGCATATATATATACACAGTCGATAGCAAAATGTGTACACATATCTATATTAGCTTTTTCAATGGATTACTTATCGAAGAACTAATTTTGACATATCCTTCGAGAAGAGAAATACAGGTTATGACATTTGTAGAACCTAGGAACGTTGTCTTAACAATTTTAACTATTATCGCATCTCACTGTATCACAATTCGTACTCCAAAGCACGCAGTTACCAATCCCGCTATAACAGATTAGGAAAACTGCGACAAGGAATACTAAACTACACATGGTGCACGGCTTTCGTTCTAGGAAGAATCCGATTAGGTAAAGTGCCATGAACATGACATGCGTTTGTAGCAACGCTGGATTTACTGGCTTTGGTATAAGCAGTACTGGAATCAACCACTGTAGGCAATACATCTTCTTCTTATTTTGTCGTCAAAGATGTATTTACGACTCCGTCAGTCTAGCTCTCTCATTTATCACAGAACCTCTCTGAAAAGGGTGGATGCATAATATTTCTCCTTTAATTTATTTGTTAATCGATCGTTCTACAAAACATGCCAATTGTACGGCCTTAGATACCTTATTTGGAAGCACTATAATTCTCTCGAAACATTTTGTTCCTGGGAATTGTAACAATTTAACGGTATATATCCATGCTAACGCAAATATCGCCCCTCTGAATTTTTTACAAATACGATTGCACACGTCCATTAATTAAATATGAAAATATAGTCAGGTGTGCTCACTAGTGAACACCAACGGTCGCTTCATAAGGATATCCTTTAGATTAGTACGTTCCAGAATAGGTCTTGCGATCTATTAATATTTTATTCTGTTCCAGAATAAAAGAATGTTTCACGTAAATTACCCGTAAAAATCGATTATTACGTTATTTATTACGTTATTTTTGCAGAAACATCTTGAATTTCAAATGTTTCATCAAATATAATTTGATGAAAATACCGACTAACTCTTTTGCGCGGGAACGCCATCTTGAATTTTGGCGCAAAACAAGATATCATAATAGAATTCCTAACGAAGCGAATTCAAATTTTGTGGACATAAATATTTGTCTTTAATAAACGTGATATGTTATCGTATGGCATAATATCGCGATAGTTTTAACCGCAAACTGTACATACCTTATCATGTATCGGAACAATCAAATAAGAGGTTTCAAATCTCTGTTAAAATGCCAGCAATCGACTAGCGGCAAGTCCACGGAAAATTTAGAAACTGTTAATCAATCATTCGAAAGTTCAGATCAAACTTCTCGAAGAAGTACCAAGAGAGTTCTTAATTTATTCAAGAAACCAGTCGAATGCGATAATGAAGAATTACAGGAAAGAAATGACCATATCAAGACGAATGAAAATAACACGGTCAACGAAGAAAATTCAGCTTCCCTTGTTAACAATAGTAGAATGTACGTATATAAATATTTTATTCATAGCACCTTAATGCTAATAATTTATTTATTTATTTGTTTAGTATATTTAACGTAGTAATTGGTAAAAAATCTGCAAGAAAACATAAGAAGTGGGATGATGATGGGACTCTAGAAGTTACTGGAAAATGGGCTGTTCTAAAGGTAATATACACGATGGTAATATGTTTATATTTTTATTCATAAATTTACTTTCATATTAACTAGAATTCAGAAGGTGGTGTTATTCAGAGGACTGTGGTTAATCCAGAAAATCTTGTTGAAGGCTTTAGGATATGTATCAATAATAAAGAGATCGAGGTAAATTTAAACAGTTTACATAAATAATTTGCACACAAAGTGGATTTACAAATATTTGCAGATTATAGATAGAGCAACATCTAGCCAATCGGTACCAAGTGAGCCTGTCAAAGAATTAATTCCAGAACCACCTAGAAAGAAGATGAAAGCTTCTAGCTCTTGTTTATCCAGTCTTCCCCTTGGATCTTTAAAAAAAGGTTTAACTTAATAGCAATGCTAAGAGACAATTTTCAAAATAAAAATTCGTGATGGGAAATACTAATGTTCGTATTGTATTAGGGCTCAAATTAACATGCAATCCCCTGGTAATGCCTTCCTTGAGTAACTTAAAAAGTTGGATAGAAAACGATGTACCAGAGAAAGAGGAAGAGGTTTCTGTAGATGCTTGTCTAGTCAATGCACTTAGACCACATCAACGCCATGGTGTTGTATTTTTATATGAATGCATCATGGGTTTGAATATACCTAATTATTTTGGTGCAATTTTGGCTGACGAAATGGGCCTTGGAAAAACGCTACAATGCATTACAATTATTTGGACGCTATTAAAAAAGGGGCCATATGGAAAGCCTGTAGTAAAATATGTATTAGTAATAACTCCTAGTAGTCTATGCGATAACTGGAACAAAGAATTCGGGCGTTGGTTGGGTTTTCATAGAATCTTTCCATATGTTGTAAATACCAAAAACAAAGTAAAAGATTTTAAGAAACAAGCACGGAATTCAATAATGATTATTAGCTATGATATGCTTATAAGATGTGAAGAAGAACTTGAACAAATAGCTTTCGACTTAATCGTGTGCGACGAAGGTCATAGATTAAAAAATAATGATATAAAAGCAGCAAAGGTAGCGTTATTAATTTTATTTAAAGGAACGCAATGAATGTAATTAATTCATATTTTTTTTCTCTAGGTATTAAACAATATGAATTGTAAGAGGAGAATCCTCTTGAGCGGGACTCCTATACAAAATGATTTACAAGAATTTTTTGCCCTGATTGACTTTGTAAATCCTGGTATATTGGGTAGTAATTACGAATTTAAAAACTATTATGAAAATCCTATCGTAGCGTCGCGATGTCCTCACGCACCTGCCAGCGTGGTATCTTTAGGAATAGAAAGAGCCAGCGAGCTGAATGAAAAAACTAAAGTTTTCGTCTTAAGGCGCACACAAGACACGATTAACAAATATTTACCATCTAAGCATGAGCTAGTTGTATTTTGTCGCTTATCAGATGAACAAGAACACTTGTACTCGCACGTTACAGATACTTGGTTTAACAGAACTGTACTACCAAACAACAACATTTCACATTTGACAGTGATAACAATTCTCAAAAAGATCTGTAATCATCCTGACTTATTTTATAAAGAGTCGAATGATTTCTTGCATGACGATTTAAAAACGTTACGGGCAAAAGCTTGTAGTACTTCAAACAAAGCATATTGTGGAAAAATTTCGGTTATACAAACATTAATGAGAAATTTAAAGGAGACAGATGAAAAATTAGTATTAGTTTCGTACTATACGCAAACACTCGATTTATTAGAAACTGTTTGTAACACGGAGGGTATGCAGTTCCTCAGATTAGATGGTAGTACACCAAACAGCTCAAGATCAAAGATTATTGGACAATTCAATTCAAAATCAGATTGCAGCAGTTAGTATGGACAATCGAACATTTAGCTTAACTATTACAAAATATGAATCGTTATATGATTATTTCAGAGGTATTTTTATTAAGTGCTAAAGCTGGCGGAGTTGGATTAAATCTGCCTGGAGCATCTAGACTTGTATTATTTGATTCAGACTGGAATCCAGCATCTGACTCTCAAGCTATGGCAAGAATCTGGAGGGATGGCCAAAAAAGAGATGTGTATATATTACGGTTAGGTTATTTTAAATTTGTAATAAGTATCAATATAAATTGAGTCTTTCAAGCAATATAATAAATTATATAGATTGCTAACGACAGGCACCATTGAAGAAAAGATCTTTCAAAGACAAGTTAGTAAAGCAGGCTTGAGTGAAACTGTAGTAGATAAAAAGAACTTTGCTTCTCTGAAATTGTCCATGAGCGAATTGAAGGTTCGTTTTTTATACATGTTTGAAATATTCACAAATAAAAAACAGTATTGATCAATAGTAGGCGCGCTACTTTTAGGACTTATTTACATTAACAAGAGATACAGATTGTTTGACTCACGATCTAATGAAATGCCCTTGCAATGGTTATAAACAAATGGAAAAGAAATTAGAAAAATTGGACCACGAAAATATTCGGGAACATCAGTTCCTTTTGGAAAGTGAAACACCTCAACAAAAGTTAACAATAAATCAACTTTTAGAGTGGGAACATTATCAGCGCCCAGTTCTGAATAAAGTAATGCAGGTAAAAACAATTTAATACTAAATATTCGAGTTCAATTATGATAATCGATATCGATGTTTTTTTAGGAAATCATGTTGTCAAATATGTCTGATAACATAACATTTATATTTAAAAATTCTATTTTAAATAAAACAATTTAATTTTTTGTTGTATATTTTATAAAAATTGTAATAAAAATGTACATCTATTATCTTTAAATTTTGCTTTTACGCGACATAGTATTTATAAGTCTTTCTATGAAGTCGGAAGATTGTATGAATTTCAAAAGTTCAGCAGATTCTCGTGAATTAACTTCCAATAAAATTTGTTTGTTCCATTTCCTAACTAAATGCTTGATTGCCACTATCGACTGAAAAAAAAATCGTAATAGTTTCAAACATTAACGTTGCTATTTTATACAAAACGAATATTATGGAAATGTACCTTTGGTGAAAGTAAAGACACTGTTTTTAAATATATCCATACATCATTTAAATGTTCCTCTTTGTATACTTCGCTGACTAAACCATATTGCTTAGCTTCGAGAGCATTCATTTTATAACCTAAATATAACATATCACCAGCCTGTAAAAAAACAACTATAAAACTGAGAAGTTAATAACAAGTAACAATATTGAAATACTAAACACCTTAGAGTGTCCAAATATTTTAGGAAATGTGTATGTAGAACATCCTTCTGCAACAAGACCTAAACTAGTAAATGGTGTTTGGAAGGTAGCCTGTGGTATTGCAAAAATAACATGTTATAAATTAATTACAATGTAGTAAGAGTAATAATATTTTAGTTTATGTAGTATTGTATAGAAATTACCGTATGCGATGCATATACCATATCAAATAACGGTAATATTGTTACTGCAATTCCAATAGCAGGACCATTTACAACAGCTACTAAAAGCTTAGGAAATGTAATTATACGTTCCACAAAATTTCTGAAAAATAAACTCAATAGAAATTGAAATATATGAATAAAAATTGATAGCGTAATTTACAAAAATATCGTGTAAATACTTGCTTAAAATTACTGAGTGTGTTTTCTAAGCTTTCAGAATCATTGCCTTGGCTCGTTGCTAAAGAAAGAAAATCATTTCCACTGCTAAAAAAATTTCCAGTCCCAGTTAAGACTACCACATATATTTTATCATTCTGAATAGCTTCATCTAGTATTCTGGATATTTCTTCGTACATCTGTTAAATAAAAAATACATTAGCATATCATGAGTACGATGTATCAATAGACTGGACGCAAAAAATTGCTTACAAGTTTCGTAATAGCGTTTTTCTTTTTTGGTCGATTCAACACGATCTTCTGAATTCCATTTTCCAATGAACACAAAATATCAGATGAATTTTTAGTTTCCATCATATGAAACAATTGTTTATTTAACTTGTACGCTTAACAGAAGTCAAACTACGAATGTCATTCGTTTATACGAACGCTCATTAATATGACCAGGATAACAAAACAATTTGCCACGTCATTCGAGGAAATGTAGTATTTCTTCCATTCTCATTGTATTACAGTTTTATTTCACCGTTTATCGTGCGATAAAGTTGTAATACATTTTTCATTCAATTTCAATCGTAGGTTTTGTGTGCATAAGCATCCATAAGTGTGGAGACACTGATATGTGTACTCTCGCACTATCAGCTATTAGTGTAGTATACATATCAGTGATTGGGTACAGTTGGGTATAGAACAGTATAGAAACGTAGACGGCACCACTGTCAACACGTAGATCTGCTGGCCAAATCTCTGCGTGTAGATTCTAGTCACGCTAATTTCTAATGTTATTTTTGTCGTTTTTCTAACACTATATAGCAGAAAAACATGTTATATTTTAATTTTGTCTACGCTATATGTAGAGTTACCATTGAAACAATATATGAAGTATGAATGTGTGAAACTGATAACAAAAAAATTTTATTCATACAGTAACATGATCATTTACAATAAATTAAGAACAGGGGTAAATAATGAAGGTACAAAATACTCGTAATCTTAAAAATATTTGATGCTACCTTGTGTTCTCCATTGTTCTCCACAAAGCAGTAAATCACTTGACTGAACTTTAATCATTGAATTATCATATTGTTTACAATAACATTAAGAAATTTACTGTTCTGTGATAGCAACACTAGCTGATCATAGCCACTATAATTTTTGATTATGAAGATTAAAGATTAAAGGAAATACAGAAAGTAACGATTTTACTTCGATAACATGTATTACTTTAGGGAAATTGACTAAACGATCCCGATACTTGTATGATAACATACCTCTATACAAAATACCATATAAAGTATTCGCATAATGAGTGAATGGTACAAATGATTATTTTTATGTTGCATTATGCACCTAGTATTGCTTTTCAATTGGATACTTGGTTTATAAATAATGATAACCGCAATTTCTCTTGTTCATAGTAGTACCATTTCTGTAAGCATAAAATAAGTACTGTAAAGATAATACTTCTGTACTTATATAAGTGTCAATGTTATCATATCTGATGTACACATCTCTGCGATTATCATACGCAAATATGTAATTTACTAAAAATTATCGAATTTGTTGATTTCAAAACTATATTTTATAACCACAAATTACATGGCCATATTACTGTCTCCTAGACAACATTTCTACAAAAGTCAGTATTTCATAAATTTTACATTATATATATATATATATTTATATGTAACTTATATAAAATGGAAGTATTATAAAGAATATCTAAATGCTTACAATTATCCTGACATATAAATTAATTAACTAAACCCAGATAAATTATAGCCTTTACTATGAAATAATAATTTTATTCGGAAATGAATCAAAATAATTATTTTTTTTGAAGATCTTCAATTTAAAATTCATCTTATTTTGTTTACACGAACAGTTGAACGCAACAAAAATTTGATACAAGATATGTAAAGTAATTTGTTGTCTTCGATTGTTATTATCTTTCAAGAACACTAGAACATTTAGAATTAGAGGAAGAAATACCGATGATTATTTACGTTGATTGTAAAATCAGAGACTGGACATATTACGGTAGCGACTTTGGTATCTTAAAACGACGAAAAATCAGTTGAATAAACATAAATATTTACCGCAAATAATGATTCATTATGGATACTGTTTTATCCATTAGAATTTTAACACTTCATCTACTGCTGTCTTTACTTCTTCGCCAAGCACTAGACTTAAGTAGCAGTAACGTTGGAAGTAATTAATCGAATAAAGAACAATAAGATAATAAGTTTAACGATTAAAATATTGTATTTAATAGAACTATTACGGCTTCAAAACTTTTTCGATGAAGGCCTTCATGTCGCGCATTTCCTGTGAAAGCAATAATTTGTTCTATAAATATTAGAATATTTATAAGTTCGCGAATCAAATTTAATTATTTTTACCTTACTTTATCTATTTCGATTTGTTACAAATTATAAAATGTTTATAAGTACATATATACCTCATCACTGGAAGCATGCATCATTCCTCTGTATGTTACAAATTCTGCTTGTGTCATGAATCCCTTGAGATAGGTCGCGGTTATCTGGCCCCACCTGTACGGTACTATTGGATCACAATTACCGTGACATTGTAGCAATGGAGTGTTTCTATTTCCTATTGCTTCCTACAAAGTATGTAATGTTGTAAAATTATAGCATTGCAAACACAAATTTTCAATTATTATAGCATTATAATACATTTCTTACTGAACACATACATCAGGAAACTTTCGATGCAGAGGAACCCAACAAGATAAAGCTATAATACCAGCTAAAGGCTCTGGAAATGTAAGAGCGCTATATATAGCAAGGGCTCCACCCTGACTAAAACCACCAATAACAATGCGTTTTGTAGGTATTCCTGCTGCAACTTCTTCTGCAATTAAAGAGTGCACCATTTCCGCAGCTTTGCGTATACCCTCTTCATCCTCAACTCCATTTGGTTCCAAAGTTCGTAAGTCAAACCTATATTTAACAAACCATAAATCTATATTTAATGTTACACAAATTAGTAATTATACTTTAATATTAACGAACAATATACCTCAACTTCTTGTATATAGTAATTTGGCTCACTCACCAAGATGGCATTCTAAATCCTGCATTTAACGTCACTGGCATTATTGGTCTGAAATAATTAGATTCGATTATGCATTGACTTTTATTTCGTACATTGGTGATCAATTATCTTTTTATTAAAAGTATACGTACGCCGTTGGACAAATAACTTTAATATGAGGTAATCGTACTGCACTCAACGAAGTGGCCCAGCCATGTCTACAAGAGTAAATGAAATTCATATAGGTGTATACATCATAGAATTATACGATTACTATTATATAATACGTTACGTCTTACCCAGTATCACCCAATCCATGAAAAAATATAAGCTGTAACAGACCAATAAAATTGTATCGAACAAAATTAATAGAATTATCAAGATTCTGTATTGTTTATTTTTACGTCTTAAAATATTTTCCCGAATAAAAGTATTAATCAAATAAAACGCTCGACGTTTAAAAAAATCTACTTCTGGTATCAAGACCTTTTAAACTTTTAGGGACAATAATCAACTAAAGAATATAATGAATAGGTACCAAAAAAATATTTTCCAGACGTTTGACACTGGCATGAAAATGTTGTATAATAATTCACTTATGGACGATTAGAAACTTTGCGCCAGGTATAACCAAAAAAGAAAGTACGTCGTGAAAGATATTATTTTTCTACTTACAGTCGCTGTGTGTCTGGCCGTAGCTGCAATCACCACAGGGCTTCCCACAGATGTCATTATTCGTCGTGCTTGTGGACGGGCTGCGTGATAAACGATAAACCGTATAACAATTTGATAAAAACTGTGAATATAGAATGGCGGAGGATTCTGGTTGTCACCGATTAAATTTCTCCAAACTGAGCTCAACAGACGGGGGATTGACGGAAGTTATGCGCATGCTTTTACCAGATCATTTTCAAACGAAAACCAAAGATATTGCACGAACCTGCAGAATTGCCCATCGCTGATAACTAATCTGAGCTAATCAGAAAATATTTCGTCACGGAAGAGTCATGGGGTTATTCGAAATAACAGACTCTATTTGCAATGGGCGAAATAAATGTCAACGATTTAATTCGAATTTAAATACGTATGCGACAATATTTATCGACGAATGCGTGTTTACAAAATCTGAATTTTCGAACCTCCATATTTACCTCGGTGATATCTTCGTAATTTTTAAGTTGTATTTAATACAAATTAAATATTGATTAATTAGGAAATTTTGGAATTTTCTCAAATGGGATCTATATATTTAATTCATAAAATTTATCTTATTTTTGTCGTTATAATTACTTTGGTTTCGAAAAGGATCGCATTGGGTGTTTTATTTCTAACTCTAGAAAGTCTTTCGTAAAATTGCATCGTGGGCATCGGGAGATTAAAAGCCGTTAAATAGTCGACGATCAGAAAATAACGTGCTCGTGAATAATAAATTTCGAAAGATACGCGAACCAGGGAATCATTCGTATTTCAATTGAAAGAAGGTCGCAGGAAGGATATGCACGAAGCGCCATCGTGCAACGCGTCGACCAATCAGAGGCGAGGGGACTCGTTCAGTCGAGTCTGCGACGTATACATTTCGGAATGCAAGCAGTAGCCCAGTGAAAAGATGGTGCTCTGAATGGTCGAGACATTCGTTCCGTGGTCGTTCCTAGCCGATGAACCGTGGTTGCCAGCCATATTGTTTTACCGCAGTGTTTGTTTTGGTGCAGCCTGCTCGAACGTACGAGGAAATCCACGGAGATCGGCCCGGAGGAACTCGAAACGGCTAGAGTGCATTTAAAGAAACTGTTCAGGCGGTGCGCGTACACGGTGGTTCAGCTCGTATTTTTCGGCGTAATCATCGTTGACTCGCGGGGCTAAGCCCGTAATTATCTTGTGGGTGTCAGTCGTGGAACCAGGACGGTGAACGGTAGAAATGGCCTGCGCCACTCTAAAGAGATCTTTGGAGTTCGATCCGGTGCATAGTCATGGACGTCCTAGTAAACGACGAAGATGCGTACCGATGTGTGTTTCCCCCGGTACATCGACGCAGGCCAGTTCCAGGCCACAGAATCCCTCGCCCTTCGGCGAGGTAACCCACAAACTGACGCCTGGTAATTAACTACAAATCTAACGGCCATTTTTCTTTTTATTCTGCACTTTTATTTCGCTCTTCCCCCCGTTTCTTTCTATTTTCCTCGGCACAATGTGACAGAGAGAAGGGGGTGGTTAAGAGGCCGTTCCAGTGATTTAAAACTTGATTTCAAGACGTTTAAAACAGGGAGGGGGGGCCAGGGAAGGGGTAGGGCGTTCAGGAGGGGGGGGGGGAGACGCGTAAATCATATGGTAATGTAGTAACGGACATCGGGGAACCCAACTACCCTCTTCTCCATATTTATACACAGTCGTCTTGGATATCGTCAACAAATTTATTTTACCTTTCAGAAATTTTACTCGCGACTTTCTTTTATTGTGCTCGTTACGAATTTTTACAAACATCGTGTATAATAAATTCTGTATAATATACACAAGTTGATAGTGTACCTAAAGAAACTCAGCATTTGAGAATTCATCGTGTTTTTTTATTGTCTTATAAGTTTAAACAAGAGTAGATTTATTTCAAACGCTACCCCTATATCATTTAGAGTACAGATTTCCTCCTTAGTTTATATTGCTATTTGTTAGTTTACAAATTTTAAAATTCGTTTATTCTAA